TTACAAAGGGTAAGAAGAATTATTTGGAAAGATCAGGTAACAAACATTTTTCTTCAACATGAAAGACTTTTTGATGAAAGAATGATTATTCCTTCTACCACGGGAATATATATTGAGAGAGAAAATTCATTTTGGTTGAGAAATTTATAAGGAATGATGATTAGTGTTTCAAAGAGTAAGAAGGATTATTCAGAGAAAGAATCAATCTATTTATGGAATTTGTATCAAATTAAGGAGAGAATAAGCAAAAATTTATTTTGTGATTTGGAAGGAGAGGAAATTAGATATTATTTCTTTCAACTTCATTTTTCTTCTAATTTCTTTGTTCTTTTATTTTGTCTTGATTTTTTGTATCTTTAATTAAAGATTTTTTCCTTATTTATATTTAATTAAAATTTATATATATTTTCTAAAAAAATAATTAAAAAGATGATCATATTTAGTTTATTTCCTCGTCAATGTTATTAATATCATTATTAGTGTTATTTATATCATTTTCTTAAATTACTTTTTTTATATCCTTTATTTGTTTATATCAAGAAATTAGTTATTATAACTTTATAAGAATTACATATGTATTTTTACATAATTTGATTTATCATTTTTAAAAATTTTGGATTATTTCTTCTTCTAAAAGTTTCTATTTATATGTAACAATAAAGCTAAAATAGAAAATGTTTGGTGACACCTTTCTCAGCAATAGATACTTATTTATTCTTATCAATTTTTTCTGACATATTTGTTATATTTTTCTTAAAATAATTGTTGCCTCGATTTGTATTTTTATTTTTTTAGCATTTTTTTAATTTTAAAAGATTGTAAATTTTATGTTAAAAACTTATAAAATATAAAAAATGATTTATTTAACTCCTATCATCATCAATACTATTAATTTCTTTTACTTCTTTCCTTAATCTTCATCACATCATTAATCTTCATCTCAATATGTTGTAGGAATGAAAAGAAAATTATCATTTCAAAAATAAAGATTAAATTATAATTTTGTTATGATTAAGGAAAGATAAGTATATTATTTCAATATCCAATAACCACATTTAATACATTAAAAATTAATTGAATAGCTGTAAATGGAAAAAGAATCTCCATTTAAGGAATCATCATTTTTAAAATTTTTGAATCATTTCTTCTTCTAAAATTATACTACACTATAAATACAAACTTCAAGAAAAAATAGTGATAAATGAAATAATTCGAATGATAAACATTTTAAGTCTTCACTTTTAACTTTAAAATTATAAATTTAAGTCATCGAGAAAACAAAATATATGAAACACTATTAGGAAAGAGTAAAAATAAATGTAGTATTGCGTGTGAGCTGTGTAAACAACCAGTTGCCTAAAAGTAACTATAAATATATATTAAATAAATTTAGTCATGTCATATATAGTTTTAATATTACATTAAATTGAGAGATGAAAATGACATCTTCTTAAATGTCCTTTCAAGAACATGCACTATTATATACTTATATTCTTATCAATTTTTTCTGACATTTTTTGTTATATTTTTCTTAAAATAATTGTTGCCTCGATTTTTATTTTTATTTACTAAATACAATATGTTTTATTATAATTACAATCAATATATTAAGCAATATGTAATAGAAATGAAAAGAAAATTATCATTTCAAAAAATTAAAGGTTAAATAATAATTTTATTATGATTAAGAAAAGATAAATATATTATTTCAATATCCCATAACCACAGTCAATACATTAAAAATTAATTGAATAGCTATAAAAGGAAAGGAAATCACCATTTATGGAAAATAAGTGGTTGCAATACCATAATAATTAAGAAGAGAGTAAGTTACTATTTTTAATATCCTAATTTGTAACTTTTGACCTACTACTCCATTAAAAAAATGCATTTAATAATATAAAAAAGGTTATTAGTTTAATATTTTTTCTCATTCTACTAATTCAATTCAATTAAACTTAATTTTAAAGATAAAACAACTACTCTATTTTGATTGTTATCACTATATTTCAAATTAAAAAAATTCATGAAATTTTTTTTCTTGCACTTTGATTTTGATTTTGATTTTCGTACTATTATTATTTTCTATGTCATTTTCCAATGATTTTTTTTATTTCGATTTAAAATTTAATGTTTATTCTTAAACTCTGATGGTACAAATTAAGGTGAAGTAGAATATTATAAATGATTCTTCTATTAAATAAGAAGATATAACAAAATTTAAAGGGTGAAGTTTGTTTTTAAAAAATGGATAGAAAATTCTATCAAGGTATTATAACGTCATTATTCCATTTTTTTAAAAATGTAAATGATGCATTTGTTTAGTATTATATTGTTATTTCACATTATGAGATATTTCTTAGACATTTAAGGTGAAAGGTACACCAAAATATATATTGCATATAAAAGGATCAACTTCACTAGAAATGAAAGAATTTGTTATTAGCAAATATATTTTAACTTATTTGATAAAGAATATATTCTCCCTCATTTAATAAATGTAAAATTTATCAAGCTTTAATTATTTTTTTTCACAATCTTTATATTATTAAAACAAACAATAATATTACAATTAAACAATAGAGTAAATATAAAATTAATCAAAAATATTAAACTTGTAACAATCGCGCGAAGCGCGGTCAAGTTCTCTAGTGTAGGGATAAGTCAAAAATTATAAGAGAATGTGTATAGTCAAGAGTTGGGAAAGTGCGTTGCACGTTTATCCCCTATTATTTTCATAAAATTTGTACATGCCTAATTTTATATCTTCAAACCCACATTTTCAAAGACGTTATTTTTATAAAATTTGTACATGTCTAATTTTATGTATTATTATTCTACTAAGTATGTGTTTAGTCAAACACAACAGTATCATCTAATTTTAACACAATTTTAGTATTACTCTCACTATTCCTTTTTAGTTGTCATATTGCGCTTTTTGAGAGTCAATTTGACTAATTTTTAAAGTTAATTTAGATTACACTAACTTGATATTTTGAAATAAGAATTTAGATATTCAAAAACTATATGAAAAGTACTATAAATTGCAATTATTTTTATATCAATATGATGGAAAAATACATTTGAAAATGTTAGTTAAAGTTTATATTGTTTGACTATTAAAAAGAAAATAGTAACAGCTACAGAAGAACGGAGGGAGTAGTTCACGAAATAGGAAATGTTGAACTATGTAAAACTAATTAAGATAATATAATATCTAACATTATCGGAGTTGCTGACATAGAATTAGCGTTGATACTTATAATATTAAAAAAAATGATTAAAACACCTAAATAGGACTAACTTGCTTCTTACCAACCAAAAAAAGGCACAAGTATATAAATAATGATGCACCACATTCGAGGCAACCATGTTATTCCCATGTATACATGTCCAGTAACTCCATTATCTTTAAAATGTGATACATGATCTTTAGGTTTATTCAAAAGTATGTAATTTTAATTTGGTTAAAAGACGCAACAAAATATAACAAAAAAAAACTTCATTTCATACACCAAATACCTTTTCAAGAAGCAGCATATATTAGGCAACCAAGATTACTTCCTCATGCTGGTTCACTACTAAAGATTGATGAAAGAAATTCGAGGAAAATGAAATTGACAAATTCAATTTTGACCGACGTGTATGGAGAAAATGAATGAAAAGATTGAGTATATTTTATTAGGAAAATAAATCCTTGATTGATTATATGTACATTGACATTTCAAAAGTTAATATTGCAATAAAGATCGGAAGATGAACCAATTCAATTGACATTAAATAAACATAATTAAGTACTAAAGAAGTGATACAAAGTTCAAGAAATAGTAAATACACACTATTAAGTCTAGGGAATTCAAAATACACGCTCCATGAACTATAAGGAGAAGCCTAAACATCCAAGTTATTCATATACTAATGACATACAGTTAAATGTATATAGTCTCTTACTATTAACTGATTTATTAATTGTATGAATAGTATTTACTACAACTTTTGGATTTTCTAGTGTTGTATACTATAATATTATATAATTACTATCTAAATATAATTAAATAATATTTTATAACATTTTCATTTAGAGTAGCTTTTTTTTAATGGCATTATTGTAGGAACTCAATTTTATAGGAATATTTTGGTATTTCAACTTTCAACTTTTTTTGTTCCCACTTTTATATATATATATATATATGATTATACTCTTTTTTTTGATAAAAAGCAAGTTAGTTTGCCAGCAACTCTCATAATACATCCCATAGTGTTGTTAATTCTTTTGTTCTTAAATTTAGAGCAGCAATTCATTATAATATAAGACCATATACCACTAAATGTTATTATTACCTTAATAAGTTTTTAAATAAGTTCAACATTTCCTATTTTGTAAAATAATAACTAAAAATTAAATTAAAAAATAAGATGATATTGCAGTGTTTGCATAGAGAAAACATTTACTTAGAAGAATATATAAAATTAGGCAGGTACAAATTTTATAAAAGGTATAATACATAAATATGTCTTTTAACTTGGTCTCATTTCATATTTAGGCCCTTCAACTTTGGGTATGCACAAGTAAACACTTAAACTTGTATAAAATTATACAAATAGACACACACATCCTACATGACATCCTATGTGGCAATTTGCATCCTACGTGGTGTCCTACGTGTTTTATGCTACGTAGGACTCATGTGTCTACTTATTCAACTTTATACAAATTTGAGTGTCTACTTGTGCACCAAAGTTGAATGGCATAAATATAAAATGAGGTGAAGTTAAAGGGCACATTTATGTATGAGATAAACGTGCAACGTTGCACGTTTCCAAAGACTAGTAATCAACACAAGTGAGCACAACACAAAAATTATAAAATAGAACAACTCGAAATATATATATATATATATAATTTCTGAGAAGAACAGAACGGTCCGAATAAGAAAAAGACATCTCTAAGATATATTGGCTCAAGAGGAAGTTAACTTTATGACTTCTCAAACTTGCAGCGTATTTGGTTACAAAATTTGTGATCGGCCTTCCGCTTGTTCTTGTATTTCTGGTGATCAAATTCAAAAGGAGGCATTTGTCGATGTATGATGCGATTGAAGGCTTTTTGCAAACACAAAACAATTTCATGCCAATCAGATATAAATACTCCCACGTAAAGAGAATGACCAGAGGATTCAAAGAGAAATTAGGTGAGGGAGGTTACGGCAGTGTATACAAGGGAAACCTTCGTAGTGGAAGAGATGTAGCAGTGAAGATGTTGAACAAGCCTAAAGCTGGTGGGCAAGATTTCATGAATGAAGTAGCTACCATTGGAAGGATTCATCATGTCAATGTGGTCGGGCTCGTGGGGTATTGTGTTGAGGGAACAATACGTGCTCTTGTATACGACTTCATGTCCAATGGATCACTCGACAAGTACATCAACACCAGTCAAGAAGGAAGTCCTCTGTTAAGTTGGCAGAGTAAGTATGACATTGTTCTTGGAGTGGCTCGAGGAATTGGGTATTTGCATCGAGGCTGTGATGTACGGATTTTACATTTTGACATCAAACCACACAACATTCTTTTGGATGAGAATTTCATTCCTAAGATTTCTGACTTTGGGCTTGCAAAATTATATCCAACAGATAATAGCATTGTGACTCTCACAGCTGCTCGTGGAACTATTGGATATGTAGCTCCAGAATTGATCAGCAAAAGCATTGGAGCAATCTCTTACAAAGTTGATGTTTACAGCTTTGGAATGCTGCTAATGGAAATGCTGGACTTGAATAGACATGAAGTTGCAAATGAAGAGAATTCCAGCCAATATTTTCCTTATTATATTTACGATAAGTTCAACAAGGGTAAGGAGATCCTGGTGGATGAAGAAGCAAATGATGATGAAAAGAAGATGGCTAGAAAGCTGAGTTTAGTTGCATTATGGTGCATTCAGACGAATCCAATACAACGCCCTTCAATGAGTAAAGTATTAGAAATGCTTGAAGGTGAAGTTGAAGTGCTAGAAGTACCTCCTCAGCCTCTTCAATCTCAACCGATTGTTTATCAGATGATGGGAAGTTCTATGATATTTTCGTCTGATTCAATGGCTTTGTTAGAAAATTCTGCTGATAATTCTGTCAAAGTAGACATTTGTTCTGATTGATTTGTATTGTTCATTTAAAATGACATATATGCGAGAAGGGCTTCACATTTTACGAAGGGTCGGGTCTGAGTTGGTCCGTCTCGAGACACTGCATTGTGTTCTCGCTGAACAAATACACATGGACATAATTAAAAGTCTATTTTCAACCTTAAGACTTTAGCACTCGATTATGGGGCTTGGGATTATAGTTTGGGATGATTTTTATGAGGTTTTGTTGGATCTTTGTAACGCATATATCCAACCTTCTAATAAGCTTTACAGCAAATCTTATCATCAAATTAGTGATTTAAATTGGGAATTTGGGGTTTTTGCCCCTAAGTGAGATTGATGTAATTCTTTCTAAAAATATCAAATTTAGTTCATGAAAAGATAAATCAGATAATTGGTCCAAACTTGAATGAAAAGGATTAAACTGGGCATAGGCCAAGTAGTACATCTGAAAGACTGTTGGGATGTATTTATAGCCTTAGTTTTAGTTTGTAATAGAACGAATTTATAAAAGAATAAAAGCTTCAAAAAGAAAAATCATATTGAGTTGGACAAATTGGGTTATAATCCATTGTTTTGCCCTAATTCAGCCACCCGTCTTGACCCGAGCAAACATTACTACGCATAAGCATAATATATAAATATGTCTTTTAACTTGACTTCAACTCATATTTATGTCCTCCAACTTTGAGTGTTTACAATTAGACATTTAAATTTGTATAGAGCAAAACAAATTGACACATGCGTCTTACGTGGCATCCTACATGGCAATTATCATCCTACGTGGTGTCCTATATGTATTATGTCATATATGACTCATGTGTCTACTTATTCAACTTTATACCTACTCATATTATGATCATTAATAAATAGGTAAACTTCATGGGCTTCCTCTTGAGGGCCCTTCATCAAATTGCAACTTTCTCATCAAGGACTAAAAACCTAAGTCTTCCATTGACTTGAAGTTTTCAATTGTTAACTTTGTTTATCACATTTCGCTCATAAAAGGTGAATTGTCCGTTTTTGGCTGTGTTTTAGGGAGGTCCCTTTTGGTCTGTAGAGTCCAAAAAATGTCTGTATTGGGGCCGACTCCACTACTATCGCCTTCTGCTTGTGAACATATCCGTAACAAAAGATACCCGTTTCGCTTAAACACAGATCCAAAACATTGCAGAGATGAATTAGAACAGGAATTAGCTTGTGAAGGTAACCAAAGCGTTATACCAGTATTCTCGAAGAAGCTGTATGTTCAAGCCATCAATTATGATAATGAGACAACTTTACAAACACAAGATGATGTATGCTCTTTGAGACCTCAGCTTACCTTTCCCCAATACAACATAATTTCTGACACATATTATTTCAGTATAAAAGGTATTCATCTTTTGTCCACAAGCAGAACGGACATAGTAGTGAAATTCACTCTTCCTAGCACTGCTTGTTTCAGAAAGATGATAATTGTGTTTCTTTTCTTTTCCTTCTATATCCAATAGACGGAACATTTTGAGAATAGAATGTAACATATCAAAGAGACTAATGACTTGCTGCTTGTTTCCCTGTGGAAGATTTAAGGTTGAGCTTTCTTATCTCCTGTCCTCTAGCAAACAAGGTAGACTGATCTAGTCCACATATTCCATGACATGATTAGGATTAATATGCCCAAAATGACTTGTCAATGAATATCTATCAAATCCAACAACCCTCAGTTAATTTGACCTAGTCAATAATTTTCCAAGTATAGGAACTCAGGAAGGTGTGTGGAAAAGTTCACTCCACAAACTGAATAGTTTCAAAGAAAAAGATATTGAGGTTTTAGAACTGTTGCCAATCATATATAGTACTAAACTACTAGTGATTAGCATCAAACTATAGAATTCAAGAAAGAGTTTTAGAAATGTCCATCTTACTTTTCTTGGTATTTTTCCCATTGCTTAGCTTAGGACACAGACTAGAGGGTTGTGAGGATTCTAGGTGCAAGAGTGATGGTCCCATCGTTCATTTCCCATTCAGACTCAGTCATCAACCAAAACATTGTGGCTATGATCTTGGATTTGAACTACATTGCAACAATAAAAAAGACACCATCCTTGAGCTTCCTTCGTCTGTTCACTTAGTTGTTGAAAAGATTGATTATGTCTCACAGAAAATTCACCTTTATGACGAGTGCATAGCAGCCAAGCTACCAAAACTGAATTTGGCACAATCTAATTTCACAAATGATGAAGATCCTACAGACCTATTCAATTGTTCTGCACCATTCTCAGACAATAATTATGGTTATTACTTGGTTCCATGTCTTGGTTCTCCTGGTTACCAAGTTTATGCTGTTACTTTGACTTCAAGCCTTCAATACTTCTTGTCTGGGCCTTGCACAAAAATTCATCAGTACCCATACGCATGGTACACATTTATGGAGAACAAACTGCAACTGAATTGGTCCATACCACTCTGTAGGAACTGTGAGTTCAAAGGAATGGATTGTGGTCTCAAGGATGGAACAAAGCTATCGGGAACTCATTGTTTCAATCGAAATATGACCCATAAAGGTAGGGGTGTGTATCGGTCGGTTCGGTTCGGTTATAAGTATTATCGGTTCGGTTTATCGGTTTTCAGTTTTTTAAATATGCTAAACCGATAACCAAACCAATAAGATATTTGTTATCGGTTTTCGGTTTATCGGTTTTAGGTCTTTAACGGTTCGATTTTCGGTTTAACCAATAAGAAAATGCTTTCAAACAAATATATGACTTATCCAATAATTTGATGCGATACGCATACATCGAAATAATCATTCCAAACGGGACAACAAGGACCAACTTGTTGTATTTTGGTCATCACAACAAAGACTTGGTTAATTTTCGATCACCATAATATATAAAACGAGGCCCCCTTTATGCAATAAAGAGAATCAAATAAAACCAAATCATAGACAAAAGTCAAAACAGTAGCAAATGAGGCCATGCTTATGGTAACTAAATGAAGTTCTTACGTTATTTTAAAAAAAAAAAAACACAATTTGAACTCTTGACGTTAATCAAATTGCAGATATTTACAATCGTGCAAAAGCTAATATTAGTCAATTATAAACTAACTAAAGTAAATAAGTAATACTAAAAAGTAAAACCTAAAGGTTTAAATAACTAAAAGTAGAGAGAAGAGTTAAATTTGTTAAGTAGTGTTAATTATTGCGTAGGGTTTTATATTTTAGTCTAATATACTACTAATTATATTAATATATTATATATATGCATAACTAAATATTAAAATAGTAAATTATTATATTCTTAATGGGTTATTGGTTAACCCAATAACCCAATATTAAAAACCGATAACGAACCGATAACCCAATAATTTTTTTTTGTAAAACCATTAAATAACCGTTATCCCAATAACCCAATAACAATAAACCAATAACACTTTTTTCGGTTCGGTTTATCGGTCAGTTCGGTTTTTGCACACCCCTACATAAAGGTACTACCTGTATGTCTTAATTAATTTTTTCCATCATTATTAAAAAAGCACTTAACAGACACTTCAATTTTGTCCATAATAGGTAACACTAAGCAGCACTTGATTGTAGGTTAGTTTTATTAAGTTCTTACTCCATCAGTTTCCTACTTTATTTTCCTATATGCTTATGACATGTTATTTATTCAATTATTGTAGGTGTAGTTTTAGGTACAGCGCTTGTTTGCATTATTGTCTTCTCACTTTATAAGCTATATTTGACAAGTAGAAATGAAAGAGAGAGTCGAGTTAGACTTGAAAAGTTTTTGGATGACTACAAGGCCATCAGACCAACACGATATTCTTATGCTGATATTAAGAAGATAACAGATGATTTTAATGAAAAGTTAGGAGAAGGGAGTTATGGAACTGTATACAAAGGCAGACTTTCCAGTGAAATCTATGTTGCAGTAAAAGTCCTACGCGATTCCAAGGGTAAAGGGGAAGAATTTATCAATGAAATCGGTACAATTGGGAGAATCCACCATGTTAACGTGGTCCGCTTAGTTGGGTTTTGTGCTGATGAATTCAGACGAGCTCTGATCTACGAATACCTACCAAATGATTCACTTGAAAGGTTTATTTTACCAGTAAGCTCTGTCTCACTCATCAGCTGGAACAAGCTTCAACATATTGCTCTGGGTACTGCAAGAGGAATTGAGTATCTTCACCAGGGATGTGATCCTACATTTCGATATGTGATTTCGGCCTAGCCAAATTGTGTTCTAAAGAAAAAAGTGCGGTCACTATGACAGCTGCTAGGGGAACCATTGGTTACATTGCACCAGAAGTGTTATCAAGAAACTTTGGTAAAGTTTCTCATAAGTCTGATATTTATAGCTTTGGGATGCTCTTGTTAGAAATGGTTGGTGGGAGGATAAAGATGGATCCTAAGACGAATAACCACAGCAAAGTGAATTCTTTGGAATGGATATATAGACATTTGGAGAAAGGGGAAGAATTGAAGATTCAGATAGAGGAAGAAGGAGATGGTACAATTGTGAGAAAATTAGCTATTGTTGGACTTTGGTGCATACAGTGGCATCCCATTGATAGGCCTTCGATAAAAGAAGTTACTCAGATGCTAGAAGGAGATGGGAGCCATCTCAACTTGTCCCCAAATCCTTTTATGGCTACTAATACGCCTAAGTTAAATGTAAGTCCTCTCAGTGAAGATCTAGACGTCATATTAGAAATTGAATAACAGTTCAATGTCATTTGTATAATGAAAAGGAGATAGTATAAGAATTGCAAAAGTACTTTGTTTCATAGTAGTGATCAGGAAGCTGAATGATAAATATGTAGACTTATTTCTCGATTTGAATGTGTTTAATTATATCCTTGCATTAAAACCATGTTAATCGGATGTCCACAATGGGAAAGAAATGAGTTGAATGATAAATGGAGAAATAGTCCTTCTCTCAAACACACTCATCCAAAAGAAAAGTCAGTTATTTCCTCAAAGCTGTATCCAATATTATAGAGAAGGCCAATTTTTATAAAGGCGAATTTAGGATTTGAAGAGGATGGATGCATAGTATTAATGTACATACTAATTACTATTACTTAGTGATGGATGCAAACTTAG